TGATGAAAACAACAAAGGGATGCCTATGAAGGCGATATGGGAAATGCTCCTAATCTGGATACGAGGGACAACTCCTCAGGCCCTGATTATGGTGCAAATCCCTCCAATGTACTGGTGTTTATATTAGGCCATGGATTTCTATGAGAATAGCTGCTGTGCTTGTTCCAGTGAAAGAGATGTAAGAACAGAGAATCATACAGCTAAGACGCCTGACTTGTTCAAAAATTGTTCTACTGGTAAAGAGTCTCAGTGCAGACATCCTGGGGCCTAAACAAGGAAGAGAGCTGAGCAGTAGAGGTCAAGGTAAGATCCTTTCATAGAATTAAAATGGGGGAGGGGGGGCTGAACCTTCCCCTCCCCTCAGAAACCACCATGAGCCTGAGCTGTACAAGACTTCGTTTGTGCTCCACAGTAGAGGACAGTGAGAAAATGCTAATGACTGAGCCAGCAAGACATGAGGGAATTCTGCTGGCTGAGAATGAGAAGAGTGTAGCTTACTTCCCTCTCAGCTAACACTAGGAGCTGCTAGAGGATGACACTGGCTCCTCCTCCCTAAAGATTCATTATGGTGTAGTGAAGATGCACATGCTCTTGGAGAACAAATCATTGCCCAAACGGTCATTTTGAAGTGAGGCACCTTGCTCAACCCAGATCACAGAGGAGGGGAAATCAGATTCTGAACACTTGTTTCCTTGGATACCAATCTCTACCTTTCTCTGTGGATTTTCATGCACTGATGTATTTGTAAACAGGTTTATTTCATTTGTACTCAACCTTTCTCCACCATGGGGACCCAAAATGACTTACAATCTTCTCCCCTTTTCCACTTTATCCTCAAAACAATCCTGTGAAGTAAGTTAGGCTAAGAGTGTGTGACTGGCCCTTGGCAGAGAGGGGATTCAAACCCAGGTCCCACAGATCCTATTCCACTACTCTAACCACTATACCATTCTGGCCCAGATCTTGATTTTTCAAAAAAGAAAGGTTCTCGTTGTCATTTCTATTTAGTAATTATTTTAATTCCCCTGAAAAACAAGTCAATCCTTTTTAATAGGAAATGTGAAAAAACATTAAGTTCCAGGAGTTAAAAACAAAGTCTTCTAAAAAGATAAGCTTACATAACTTATTTTCCAACAGTAATAAATATAGCACTATGATTTCAGGTCTTTTAAGACAAATGCATCATAAAGAAACATTAAAAATATAGTATATAAACTATTAAATGAAACTTATTTTTGCCACTAAACCATATTAATATGATCTAAAGTGCGCTGTCTAGCCAAGGATAATGTTTTGGTTATAAAAAAGGCAATAGACTGAGCGACATAATTATGTGCAGACAACACATACAATCCATACAAAATATAAAAGTCACATTTATAATTAATAGTAAATATCGTAATTATAAGATCATTTGCATAATTTAGAAGTAAATAAATGGATGTTTAATGGCCTTAAGGAGAATAATAAAATATGAAGGAAGTTGTGTTTCTTTTGCAAACCAATAAAATTAATGAACATTAACTGTATGAATAGAAGACACTGCTGCATCCCGGTGTGCATTAATGGCAGCATTTTTATAGCTGAGGTAAAACAATCCTGAAAAGTCAGCAATTTTTAAAGTAAATCTATGACACCCGAAGAAAGGATTATTATGTAGGACTAAAAATTCCATGTCACATTTCAAAAATTAACCCATCAGGCAAACAAAATTTGTTTTGAAATATTCACATGCCTTTATCATGTTAATTGTTATACTGAATTTATTCATTAAAGATATAATTGAAGGGGAAGTCTTTAAACATTTAAACACTGTGTGGTTGAAAAACTGTTCTAAAGACACATGCATAAAACATACTGTGAAGCCCTGATAGTTTCTGGACAACAAAAAGAAACCCTGCATCGTCATCATCATCATCATCATCATCATCATCACCACCACCATCGCCGCCGCCGCCACCGCCACCACTGTTGTTGCTGTTGTTGTATTACAGATCCACCTTGCCTGTGACTTGACATCTACTACTTAACAACATTACGCTTCCTGGTCTTTGCTGAGAGGTCTCCCAAAAATGCACAAAAGAGAACCTGAATATCAGCAGCTGATTAGTAGTTCACTCTTTTTGGGTGTTGGGAATAACTTCTTATATGATCACAATAAAAGGGAATGGGGAGTTGTGTACAGGTGGAGAAAAGTAACATTAGAGAGAAATTGATGAGTCACTTTTTAATAGCTTTTTAGATGGGAAAGCATTCAAACACTATTTCAGTCACCTGCAATCTGAAGCTGTACCAGTTGTAAGAGCCTGCATAATGTGATTTCTGTGCATGTATGCACTGGCCCCCAGAGTCTATGTTTGTTTGTTATTTAAAAGATTTGTATTCCATCTCTTGGCCAAATGGTGAGAAAATACATAATAAACAGTAAAAATCCATACAATAAAACATAAACTGATGGCAATTAAAATATCATCTATCATTTCAAAGCATCGTGTTGAAAGTTACTTGTGGAGATGTGGCAGCCTGAAACCAAACCATAACTAAACAAAAACCTTGGTGAATAACAAAGGTTTAATGAAAGTGACCAAATTAGACAGCCGATAGATAGTAGCAGGCAGATGCTGCATAACTAAAACATCCCTTGCTGAGAAGAGCACCACCTCACTTTAGAAGGTGGGGAGCACATAGGATAGGTCCTCTATATAAGATATGGGAACAATCAGTCCTTTAAGTACCCTAGTCCCAGGCTATATGTGCCTTTAAAGGTAATAAGCAGCACAGTGAATGGTGTCCAGAAGCACAAGTAGCTAGTGTAGTTCTTTAAGAACTGCTGAGTTATGTAATTGGTAAGGTAACTAACACCCATTAGCAATCTTCCTGTGGCATTTCATACTAACTAAAGCTTCCAAACACTCTTCACAGACCACACAACAACTACATTGCAATAGTTTAATCTGGATGTGATCTGAGAATGGATTTGATCCTGGCTATAAAAAACAACAAAACAAAGCAAAAACAAAGGCTATAGCTGGCACTAACCAATGTTAAACAAGACACTATAAAGCTTCCAAACACTCTTCACAGACCACACAACAACTACATTGCAATAGTTTAATCTGGATGTGATCTGAGAATGGATTTGATCCTGGCTATAAAAAACAACAAAACAAAGCAAAAACAAAGGCTATAGCTGGCACTAACCAATGTTAAACAAGATACTACGGCTGCGGTCACTCACACGAAATAATCCACTTTCAATGCTCTTTCCAACTGGATTTTGCCAGTTCACAAAAAATCCAGTTGAAAAGTGCACTGAAAGTGGATTGAAAGTGGATTATTTAGTGTGTGTGACCACAGCCTATATGTCACAGAGGAGAGCCATACTTCCAGGATAGGAACCTGTTCTCTCAAGGAGAACACAATCCCATAAACCACTGACTGACTCCTTAATTCCTGGCTGTCAATACTGTCAATCAACAACACTTCAGACTGTCTGGTTATCTTTCTACATTTCAGAAAAGCCTCTAAATGATTTCATATCTATGTAACTGTTATTCTACAAATACCAAGGCAGAGAAGCAAACATATCCAGATATAAATATCTTGTCTTTATCCAGTGGAATTTCACACAACAGGAAGCTCAACACTTTGGGACACGTTATCAAAATTCTTTTTCCTGATAGGCTTTGGTTAAAGATGTACCCTAACAGGTATCAAGAAAGTGGATTATTACATTTGGAGCTATTTGGTATTTGGAGCTATTACATTACAGCTCTAACCCCCCCCCACCTAACCTATGTCACTTGTTTTGTACAGAAGTGCTAGAAGCATTTTTTTTCAGACTCCAAATAATAATTTTATAGCACTGAACATTCTCCTCCCATAGCACTAGTGAATGCAGATAGTCATTAAGAATCCTAGAGTTAAAGGCAATGAAAGAGAAGAGGAGGTTTGGGAATACTGTTTATTTAGGAATAGCTCTCTTGTTCATTGTTGACAGAACAAGTGAACAGATGGCCATAGACCTGAATGATCTCAAAGATATGGCACTGAGCTTCTTGTAGAGTTCTGTAATGTGCATCCATGTACACATAAACATATCATATTAATAAAGGAATGGTGGTGGTGGTGGAAAGTGCCATCAAGTTGCAACTTTCTTATTGTGGCCCCGCAGGGTTTTCAAGGCAAGAGACGTTCAGAGGGGGTTTGCCATTGCCTGCCTCTGTGGAGTGACCCTGGACTTCCTTGGTGGTCCCCCATGCAAATACTGACCAGGGCCAACCCTGCTTAGCTTCCAAGAACTCATGAGCTTGGGCTAGCCTCGGCCATCCAGGTCAGGGCATCATAGAGAAATGACTGTTTAGTAAATCAAGATACATGAAAATGGAGGACAATCAACAAGTTTAGTCTATATTTTAAACTTTATCCTTATTAACGTCGTTTTTTGAAAAAAGCATAAGAGCAATTGCTGGATCAGACCAGTAGTCCATTTAATCCAGTATCCTGTTCCATTGAGGCCAACTAGACACAGCTGGTACAAGCAGGGTACAAAGGTCAGGGGTACTCCTTTTAAAAAGGTTTTTTTTGTGTGTCATTGTAATTAATAGCCATCGATGGTCACATGAATTGTGTGAACTGAGAGAACAGTTTGGAGACTATTTTACTGCATACACTTGAAATTGTGTTCTGTGTCAGTTCTCATTTTTTCTTTTCTGTATTTATGGACCCAAGAACTTTACAGGGAGATTCGTAGTTCCTGGCTATGCAGGATTTTCCTGCTGTGTAAACCTCTTGAAAGCAATCTTTATAAAGGAAAGAGCTGGGTTTCCTCGCTCAAAATAGCTGAGTAGCATTGCTTTATGATTAACAAAACATCTGTATTTTCTCCCAGATTAACTGAAAGCAATTTAAAGCCTAGGCATTGACAGGGGTGTGAAGAAGGGAGGAAATTGGGAACACCTAAGTCATATGAATAAGATTTGGGGTTGAGTTTTACTCACCTCGTATTCCTCCTTAAATCCATAGCCTTCTGCACATTTCATCTGTGTAATATGCTGCAGCAAATCAGCAACGCGGATAGCTGGATGGAGCTGTCCGGTCTGGTATGGCACATCTGCAGGCTCTCGCTTCTTATATGTATGTGACTGGACCAAGCTGCTTGTGTCACTGCCCATCGTATGGGTTTCATCTAGGAAAAGAACACTGAATAATGTACCGGGCGATTCCTGATTCTTTCACAAAGGTGTGTGCTTTTACAAGGATGGACGTTGACCCTACCATCTCTATCTATGTGGGCTAAACCGTAACAAAAGCAAACTCTACTAGTAATGTATTCAGGGAAATAGCAAGGTCTATTAGAAAGAGGAAAAATCTATTGGTTTGAAATGAAAAAGCATTGCATAGTCCATACTGTATACTTTTTTTACTGGTTGGTTTAAACCTACTGTTCAATTCAACAATTTAACTTTTTAGGTATTTAGTTCTAAATTGTACAGAAGTTTCAGGCTGAAACTTCATCAAGTCCCAGTTTTTTTAAAAAGGACTTGAGTGTTTCCTGGATTAGTAAACTTTTTATTATCTCTTTCACGGTGATTCAGGGCACATGTTAGTGAAAGCAAAATGTTTAAAAAATGCATAAAATGATATGAATTATTAAGCCAGGAGTAAAATGGAAAATGTAGGTTGGATGCAACACTAGGAACGAAAATACACAAGGATAAATACAAGGGATAATTTGATTGAAGTCAAACCTTTGGTTGAATTTAGCATGCTGCAGTATCAAGTACACAATATAACATGGGCCATTGTAAAAGGCATGAAATGTTATATGTCAACTGACATGCAAGCCAACACACAATAGCACCCCACTGGGTTGGTCCAAACTAGTATGAAGCAAACAATTTCCCACCCCCTCCACACCTCTTCAATGGGGCAAATGGGCAACTTACCATTTATTGGCACTTTTAAGAAGATACATATCAGGAGAAAAAGAGGAGGAGGAGAAGAAAAAGGAAACAGGCCATAAGCAACAGTACTACAGTAATAATTACAGGTATTTTATGATTATAATTTGAGTGTCTAGAGTTTGGTTACCTAGGAGAGCAACCAAATATGTTAAAATTAAAAGGGCAGGGTTGAGTAACCAATATAAGTTTCCCCCCCTCAAATTAGGTGTAACTTTTACCTTAATAACATGACAAGGAAAATAAAAGATCTAAAACTTAGCATTGAATATCCTTTTTTTTCTTCTTCTCTAAAATTAAAAATCAAACCATTTTTTTATCTGCTATTAAGCTGTTTAATTAAATTGCAATATGAAGTCTACCATCTTTCAAAATCAGACGGTGACTCAGAAACCCTTAAAAAGCATACCTCATCTAACACTATCCTACTGAAGGAAATGGGACTAAAAAGATCAAGGGTTGGATCCAGCTGGATAGTTCACAGAAGCAGCTGGCAGAGCATATCTTTCCCTGCCTTCCCGTTCCATAAGCAGCCTGCTATTTGTCTCAAAATTCCTCTCTGAAGACTGGGAGAGCCTCACAAACAAAATGTACCACAGGATGGGGCATGTCAGCAATGATAGGAACAAGTAACACTGTACCCATGAGCAGTTTTACCTGATTCCCCTTCATTTATTGCAGCACCCGATCCTGTGGTGCACTTTGTCTGTGAAGTTCATATAAGAGTTTTGGGACAAACAGTGTGCTCAGACAACTGTGAATTCTTCTTCCGGATCCAACCCAAGGACTGCAGCATAATGATGAACTTAAAGCACCATTTCTACAGCAGAATTTCATTTTGTGAAAAGCTAGATTTGAGTTCAGTAGTACCTTAGAGACCAACAAGACTTTGAAGGTATAAGCTTTCAAGGGTCAAAGTTCCCTTCATCACCTTTGACTCTTGAAACTTGTCCCTAAAATTTCATTGGTCTCTAAGGTATTATTACTGGACTCCAGTCGAGCTCTTCTATTGCAGACTAACATAGCTACCCTCTGAAACTATAACTTGTGAAAAGAATCCATGTAATTTTTTACATTAGTAAATATTCTTATAAATGCAGTTCAGTGTGACAAAGCAAAGAATGCATATTAAATATTTTACTGAAAACGGCCTTTAGGTGGTTTACTACAGGATTACACTGATTTTTTCTTTTTATGGTAAAATGTATAACTCATCCTAATACTAGAGTATAAAAAATTGTACAGGTTATCTGCCTTTAGTGCCATAGTTATATTGCTATATCCTAGCGCTGTCTTATTGTTTGAGATGTGGTTTTGAGGTAATGATTTGATTTGTATCCTGAGCAGTAACTGACTGGTGAAACAAGTATTGTAATTGGACTATGAGCATGGCTAAACTTCAGATTCGCCACATGAAAAGCATCTAGGCCGGCTGAAGGACTTTTATTTCTAGTTAATGTCCTCAGTTAATCTCCACTAGAAATTGAGGAGCAAGATTAGCTGAGCAAGACACCCAGAGATTAAAGCCTTCTGGTCAGTAGCATATTTTTCAGAATGGCAATAATCTCCAGTCTTCAGAATTCACATCAGTCACAGTCCGATCACTTTGCTCGCTGCAAGAGTACCTGTCGACAGGTTTTAGTCTCAGCATTTAAACGGAACACTGTGCAACATCCCTAGACTTATAATGTGATCCCAGTAGCCGTGGCAATTCTGAAGAATACTAGGAGCTCTGAAAAGGGGAGCTTCTCCTCAGCCAGAGCTTCCTGATGAATGTTTAAAGCTTCACGGGAAGAAAAGTGATTGGGGTGGGTGGGTTTGCAGATGAAAGTGATGGGCAAAAGAAGGGTAAAGTATCCTTCCATCCCAACATTTCTCAGCTGAAAATTGCTGCCTTCTCCCATTAAAAGAAGTAGCACATAGGGATTCCAGGCCTGTGTTTGCCATCAGTCTTCTAATTCTATCCTAAGACTTTTGTTTTTTGTTGTCTGTGACAGAAAATGTTCGTGCAGCCATGGTGCACTCCTGTCCTTCATGAAGAATTTGCTGCTTCACAGAAAACAACAGGAAAGTCCCTGAGCGCACGTATCAGTGCACTTATCAGAGCCTCTGTAAAGTTCAGGTGACAATAAAAACATTAATGCATTAACATATTGATTTGTTAAATGGTATAAGAAAGGGGCAGTTTAAAGATCTTGTTCCTCACATTTTGTTTAGTATGTGATAATATATAAATCCTGTAGTTTCATTCTGTAAAATGTGCTTTGTGAAAACACCCCAGGTTGTCACTCATTCACACGCTAGAAATATTGCTGCTCCTCACAAACGCTGTAATCTTCACACTTCTCTGCCAGCTTCAGCCTGTTATCATATGATGGGGCTTGTACTGGCATAGTGCTGGAAGCATACCTGGATCACAGCGCCCTGAAACTGTATAAAGGAAATGCCACTAAAGTCACTAACATGAAATGATTTCAGCCCAGTGGAGTTGCCCTCATGTTAAAGTGAGGCACATTCAGGAACTCATTAGCATAATAGGCCACACCCAACAGGGAAAAACCATTAGCATGTTAGGCCACACAGCCCTCGTTACCAGAAGTGTGGTCATCCAGTCACACCCACCTTTTGCTTCTTATTCTGTTTACCTTGTTTGTTGTCAAAACCCAAGGCTTTTTTTGTAAAAGGAATGTCTTTGCATGTTAGGCCACACCCCCTAATGTAGCCAATCCCAACGAGTTTCTGCCATTGGGTGTGGCCTATTATGCTAACGAGTTCCTGCTGGGCGTGGCCAACTCGGGAGCCAGCCAGAACTCCGTTTCTGTGCGTTCCTGCCCAAAAATAGCCCTGGGCACATTAATATGCTCAAATAGTATCCTCCTCACCTGTTAGTAAAAATCCTAATTCTAAAGTAATACATGTAGCATTTCAAGGACCATAATCATTTTGCCCCAATCATTTTGCTGCCTTACTATTCTGATACAATATAGCTGCCTGTGGGTGCTATTAGCTAATCCTTAGTAGAACTGTAATGCAAAGCACCTTGGGATGCATGGCATGAAAGGCGATATACAAGTGTTGTTACAGTATGTTGTTGTTGAAATGGCACCTGAGTACTACAAGGTGGCTAAGACACAAAAGACAAAATAAATAAGTAAATAAATCAATAAAACAAGGAGTTGGAAGTTATGATATTTTAAAAATAAATTTATTCACAGTTAGGTCATGATTATTTTATTATATTATAATCAGATAAAGTTTAGGATCTAATCCAGTGCTGGAAAATCAATTTTAATACGTTCTTTAGAGGATCGTATATTTCTGAATCAAGCAGACCCAGCATATACTGAAATTCATTTTTACTTTGTTCTCTCTTTGTTCTTAGAACCAAGATTATTATTTTTCATAAGGGAATAATTTGCTGTCCTGTATTGCAGGCACTAGTCATAAGGTATATCCAGGTTACTGCTTTTCTTCAAAACAGACTTTCATGCAAAAATATGCAAAAGTATAATGAATGTGGACTTCTTTTCTCTCATTTTAAAATATTTTAACAGGTCATCAGGGTGTGTAATAGCTCCTCTAAACTCTTAAATTTTGAGAGCCACATCATTTCACAGGTAATTGCTTTTGAAAAGTGAGGATTCTATAATAAAGTGGTCACATATGGTGTGGAAGAGGCAAAAACTTCATTAGTCCTAGTTACTGCTTTCAATTCTATAGTATTCAAATGCTGATGTGATTACTCTACTATTATCTTACATTTCATTTCAGATTTCCTGACCTAAGTAACAATAAGGAAATATTGCTACTGCTATCTAAATAGTATCAAATGTACATGAAAAAGCTATAAATAGATATAATCAGGTTAGGAACAGAAATATCCTTTTTGTTTAAAAGTGCTTTACTTAAACTGGAGAATGCCAGTCTACAGGAACACAGAGGGCAATTCCAATCAGATCTTTCTAAAATGCAAAGTTAACTTGCATGTTCATAATGTTATGGAATTGAAAACCTGAGTCATGTATCAACACATTAATTTGTTCCAGCTACGGCCATGGCTCTTTACCCACTTTTAGTTCCAAGTAACATGTGAGAGTGTAAGGACGGCTGCTCCAAACTCCATGTATAAAAATAGCCAGAATATATTTTAAAATTATAAAATGTAATCCACACTTTATACTTTTAAAAGTCCAATACTCAATTAGGCTAAAACATATTCTCTTTCTGATCTGAAAATTAAACAATACAAAAAATACAAAATTCAGAACCTGGTAGCCCTCCTTAGTAAAAATGTTGGCTTTTAGCTATAAACATGCAAGGATTTTCTACATGTACAAGCAGGGATTTCTCCATTAATTGCTAGTCCGAGGTAGTCTGTCCTAACTTCCTGCTGCTTCAGCACTGTCAAGTGAGTTGTGTGCATACGTCTCATGCATCGAATCAGCTACTACTGCAACACTACTAAGCCACAGGTAAGGTGATTTGTGCAGGGTTTCCCTGTGGCCTAGTATAGGTTGAAATGGCCATCGATGGCTATTAATTACATACAATGACAAAAAAAATGTCAGTCATCCCTGACTTAGTTGCCGATTTGGAGCCTTAGGAAAAGGTGCAGCTATGGATAACAGCCAGTGAGATGCAAAAGGGCTATTTCTGTTTTTAGTTAATAAACATTCATAGTGCAATCCTGAACAGAGTTATACCTTTTTAAATCCATTGAAGTCAATGGGCACAGGGGAGTGTAGCTCTGCTTAGGATTGTACTGCCAGGTATATCTCAGAAGGGAGACATGGATCTTGAGAACATTTTGGCAGCAGAAAGTTATAAAGTCTGAAGAAGCCCTATATCTTTCTTATAAGCGGAATATCTATTTAAACTTGTGCCATTTTTCTATTGTTAAATAGAAGAGGAAACTAGAAAGCAATTCACAAAATCCCATGTTCAGTTCAGTGATGCTCTTCTAGCTTCAATCAAAAATGTATCTCAATATACATTTTAATAAGCTTGATGATTCAGTTTATAGTCTTTTTTCTTTATCAGAGACAAATACTTTTAACAACTTTAACATACAAGCAATTACTAAAATACATCCATCAATAAAGCATACTGGAATCCTGCACTTAGTATTACCATTTTTCTTTGGATAATAAGGCTTTCCTCTTTTACAGATTGCTAAAGCAAACACATATGCAGTAACTTCAGGCTACTAAAAATAATTTCTTCACATGCAAGTTATTACATTGTGATGGCCACTGCAGTACCATTTCCTCATATTTACTAGAAATGATTTTCTTTGGATGTCAGATGGAAATGAACTTTGCTAATTATTACTGCATTAAATGACTTTGCTTTATCTCTTTTGCATGAACCACCTCCTGGAAATCCATGGCCACAAAGCCAGAGAAGGACAAAACTAGCTGTATACATCTACCATATTTTCTAAATTTATAGCTCCTCATGCCACACCGCAAATCACTTTTGAGACCCAGCAGAGTTTCAAAAGCAGCTTATGATACAGTATAGCAGGCTCCTGTACAAAAAAGGAGGAAAATCCAAAAAAGTCCTGCTGGGAATGTAAGATCTCGTATTCCTCTAAAGGAAATTTCTATATTGTGTCTCATGCACAATTCAGTTCAGAGACTTTTGACAATGAGTTCAGCAACATCAACCCAGAATCCATAGTGTACACCATACACAAATCCATAAGAACTTAGAGAGACAGAGAAGAAGAAGAAGAAGAAGAAGAAGAAGAAGAAGAAGAAGAAGAAGAAGAAGAAGAAGAAGAGAAGTGTAAAACCATTGAAAAGACAATGTGAAAGCAGCAACTTAAATATTGGAATGGAATTTTTTACACAGTGCATTATTGGATTTTTATCTCTTTTATTTGGTTAAAAAGACAGTTTGGGTTAGATTAGAGTTAGTATGGTGGTAGTAATTGAAAGCATAGCCCAGCTCTGTTATGTTTTCTAAATATAATAATATCACATGCTGCATCTTGGCATGGCAAACCCATTTCCCTTCACTCTTTTTATACTGGACAAGTAAAGTGTTTTTAATTTCCTGACAGACAGATACAAATGCTTTTCCTTCTGTAACACTAGTGTTTCCTTTCAGTTTATGGGATGTGACATGTAATAAACACTATTATAGTGTGCCAACTTGTCAATTTTGTGGGTCACCATCCCATTGCAAATCTCTCTGTGATATCAAGCAGAAATTATCTCTGCTACAAGCAGCAGGTAAATGAATAAAAACTGTATTTTAGCATACCCTAAATAATATTTAGCAGTCATTTATTTCACAGACAATGCCGAAATAATGACAAAAACTTTCATTGTCATGATACTGATATTTTTTGATGATTTACCATTCACAACTTTTTCTAAAAACAAAACTGATTTTTTTTCCTCTCCAGAATTTGTCTTATAATAAATACCGAGTAAGATGACTGAAAGTAGAACTAAAATATGCTTATTTGTACATTCATCCCCTGGCAGCACATAACATTTGCTTGGGAACTATATTTTTGTAGCCCATATTTCAACTTTTGAAAATTGTTTTTGCAAGGTGTGTTGATAAAGGGAAATGTTCTCACCTAAAATTGCAGTTGGCACAAACGGATCTGTCATACATCATAAGCAGGTCAATGCGGAAAAGGTAAAAAGAGAAAGAAAGGTAAACGACTGATAAATGTTTCCAAATTTTCTGCCAGAAAGCCACAAATAAGTAAGTAACATGCAAAAGATGCGTAGCACTTTTTGATAGATTAAAAGTATATATATAAAATGATTCTATAACAATATTATTTATAAAAAAAAGCTTTGGTCATCCTTGTGCAGGTGGATCTTTGACACATGCACAGAGAACTTGTGGGCTGGAGTCCTGAAGAAGAAAGCTCTGGCTAGACGGGTGTACATGAGGTATGCATAACCACACTAATGCTTAGTGTGTGTATACCAAGGCTGGTCTTAAGGGAAGCACGAGGTCTCCAAGATACTCTCTAATGATCGCTCCCCTTGTGCACATCTGTGCCCACACGAGGAAAGATCCATTAATTCCTAGGGGTAATTATATAAAAAAAACCAAGGCCAAAATTGGTTACCTGGGTAGTAAGAATTCGGCACTGTTGTACTCAGTGTGTTTGTTTTCATTGTAAATGAAGATGGTGAGGATACAGCTGTTAAGAGAAGAAAAGATTGGTTGAGGAAGGAGAATGTGAAAAATGAACCCTGGAGTTTGGGAACTACTTTGGACGGTTCTTTAAGTGTTTGGTTTTGGCTTGAAAGCTCCTAGTTTCTTTATCCTAGGAAGCACGAGGTCTCCAAGATACTCTCTAATGATCGCCCCCCCTTGTGCACATCTGTGCCCACATGAGGAAAGATCCATTAATTCCTAGGGGTGATTATAAAAAAAAAAACAAGGCCAAAATTGGTTACCTGGGTAGTAAGAATTCGGCACTGTTGTACTCAGTGTGTTTGTTTTCATTGTAAATGAAGATGGTGAGGATACAGCTGTTAAGAGAAGAAAAGATTGGTTGAGGAAGGAGAATGTGAAAAATGAACCCTGGAGTTTGGGAACTACTTTGGACGGTTCTTTAAGTGTTTGGTTTTGGCTTGAAAGCTCCTAGTTTCTTTATCCTACTATAGGTTGCATTAGGGCTCCTTCTTTCATTACCTTTAGTGACTCCTCCCCATTATGCTAATAGTATAAGAAATCTTAAATCACGTAGGAGAATTCCCTGCCAGAGTTTTTTTCCAAGCAGAATTGCTTCAGTTACCAAAGGGAACTGTTACGTGAAGCAGCTAGGATATGGAATTCTCCCATAGGATGTTGCGTTTGAAATGCTGTTGGGCAGTACAAGCTGCCATGGCTCTGAATTTGATACAGACAATATTGCCATGGGGACCTTTGTATAAAGTTCTACTAACTGAAATTATTACCTTTGCTTGCTTGCTTATTTATTTATTTATATTTCTAGCTCACCCTCCCCTGCTCAGCAGGACTCAGGGAGGGCTACAACAGTAAATATACACAATAAGATAAAACAATTAAAAGACAATCTACACATTATTTTTTTAAAAACCTATACGGTAGCAAATAGTACATAAGATGGCATTCAGGGACAGTCAGTCACAGCAGCTCCAGAGAACTTTCAGTATGTATGCCCATAGATGGAGCCAGGTATTCGGCAGGTGGCAGAGAGCAATAGGCAGCACCGCATTACTGGCACAAAAGTGGGGTAGCGGAGGCCGATGGAGTTGAATCTCCACCACCTCAATCATAGGCCTGGCAGAACAGCTCCATTTTACAGGCCCTGTGGAATTGCAAGAAATCCCACAGGGGCCTGATCTCGTTAGGGAGAGTGTTTTACCAGGCCAGAGCTCTAGTTGAGTTAAGTGGATCTCCTCTGGACTGTTGATGTTGATCCGTGGAGCGTAAAGCTCTTTGGTCCTGCAGATACGTTGGTCTCAAACCACACATGGCTTTAAAGGTTAATACCATAACCTTGATCTGATATTCAAGAGCAGCCCTTTGTATAGTAAGTTACAGTAATCCAGTCAGGAGGTTACCACTTCATGGATCACTGTGGCTAAGTCATGGGGAGAGAAGTTGCCTGACCAGCCAAAGCTGGTAAAAAACTGATCTGGCAATATTCGTGGTAGCCTCACCACTGGCATTTGTGTTAGTAACACCCTGTCAAGGGTTGGGAGCTGGATTCCCGACCCATCCCCCCACAGTTCAGACACAGGACCTTCAGCTTTGATGGATTTGATGGATTTACTTTCAGTCAACTCTGCTTTAACCAGTCAGCCATGGCCTCCAGAGCCCTGGCCAAAACATCTGGGGCAGTATCTGGTTGACCATCCATCAACGGATACATCTGGGTGTCATCAGCATATTGGTGACAACCCAGCCCAACCCTCCAGACCAGCTGGATGAGGGGGTGCATGTAGATGTCAAATAACATAGGGGAGAGGATCGCCCCCTGAGGGATGCCACATACCAGAGGGTAACATGGTGAAACCCTCTCTCCAAGCGCCACCCAATTATACACTAACAACTGTATTTTAGTGTACACCATGAAACCAAAACCAGGATACCAACAGCATCTTTATTTTATTAATTATGCATTTAAAACATTTCTGTGCTGCCTTTCCACCCAAATAGGGTCACCAAGGCAGTGAAAATCAACACATTTCAACATTAAAACAACATTTAAAATAAATAATATATAATTTAACAATTCAATAAAACATATAAATACAAGCACACATATAACAATCAAGGAAGAGAGCCAATAACAGTTAGTGGGGGGATGCCAAACAAAAAAGTCTTCACCCACTGGCAGAAGAGAATAATAGGGACAGATATACAAATCTCCCAGGGGAGGGAGTTTCAAAGTTTCAGTGCCACAACTGAGAAGGCCCTTTCTCTGGTTGTCACCTCAGATGGAGGGACACCTGAAGCAGGGCTTCCGAAGACGACCAGAGTGGATGGACAGGCTCATATGGGAGTAGGCAGTACTTCTGGTATGCTGGTCCCACCAAGCCTTTAGGGGATATACAGACTGACCACAGAAGTCACACACTATCTCTTGATTATACTACAAGTTAATTCAAGGAATGTTTTCCCTATCTTCCTTTAGCTGTGAAAAAATACTTCAGTGCAGTGTTTTAACAGTGGTACAGCACACATTTTTTTGCATGCAAAGAGTCCCAGGTTCAGTCCCTGCCATCTCCAGTTTGAGGGATGTCAGGAAGAAGGGCTGGGAAATCCCTCAGTGCAAGACCTTGAAATATGGCTTTGTCAGTAACAGTGTTAATGGGTTAATTGTATCAACTGGAATAAGACCACTTCGTATGTTCACTCTTGAAAGTGAAGGGGGCTTTATTTTATTGGATAATAATGTTAACATTAAAAATGTCATCTTGAATTACTTTGACTCTTTTTGTCATAAACAAATCTGAGGTTATGAATCCAACACAATGACTGATTTCATGAATTCCCTTACACCATGAATTCTTAAATATGTCAACTGTAACATTGATGCCAAATTAACAAAGTTTTACATGCAAAGAGTCCCGAAAGCCAGTCGAGTCCGACTCTAGGTTTGCGGTGCTCATCTCTGTTTCAAAGCCGAAGAGCCAGTGCTGTCCAAAGACATTTCCGTGGTCATGTGGCCGGCATGACTAAACCCCAAGGCGCACGGAACGCTGTTACTTTCCCACCAAAGTGGTACCTATTTATCTACTTGCAATTTCTTGCTTTTGAACTGCTAGTTTGGCAGGAGAATTGCTATTTCTGACAGACTAAATGGCCACAACCCAAAGTCTTCTGTATTTTTTTTATGGGCTAAAAAGAGTATGGGGGCAGGCAGGTTGTGTGAAAGCAATAAAAAATTCAGAATTGGAAAAGTAAATGAGGAAATGCAATTCAATAACTGCTGCACCTGTGCTTTTTGTACAAAGGGGAAAGAACAGACAGAAATGCAAAATCATCTTTATTATTTTTAAAGAACCCTATTCTTTCTGAGTAGCATACATGCTGTGACATGCTGCACGGTATGAGATTCCAAAAACTTGAATCTTCTATGAATCAATAACCTGGCCATTGAATTGACTGGGTAATGAGAAGTATTTTAAAAACCATTTACACCTCCCCTCCCGGCCTACAGAAATAAAAATGACTGCTACATTCCTATGCATTTTTTACTTACATCTTCCATTTAGGTTGTGTGTGTCCATGAAAGAGAAAGCCTCATCACAGTTGGTGCCTTGTTCAGTGTAGCTTTTATCCATTGAGTTCACCATCACTGTCATTTCCTGCCGTGTGCTACTCAATGTCTCTTTCCGCTTCTTAGCCAATTTCCTGAACATATGGGAAGAAACGGGATGCTGGGGTAAGTAAGTACAGAATCCATCTTTTTATATGCGTGTACATCTGTTAATACAACTATTCAGAGACAAAACACTTAAAATAATGGTGGAATTCAACCCCCCCATATCTGAGTACAATGCAAAGCAATAAAATATGAATATCATCAGCTTCACTGAAGTAGTAACAAGGATTAAGCTAATTGTATGGACTATTTAGAAGCAGGGAAAAAATGAATAACATAATTCAGGGACAGCCCAGTTCAGTATAGAGGCCCTGTCCATACTCATAAGGTCTATTAGAGCCTCTCTTCACTTACATATGTTCAAAGCATCACATACAGGTAGTACAATATCATGGGTTGTTTATTCTACCCTTCTGTCTTTCCTTCGGTATGCCCTTTCTCATGCTCTAGAGAGCAACAGAAATTTCTGCTGAATTAAGAACATAAGACGAGCCATGCTAGATCAGATCAAAGTCCCATCTAATCCAGCATTCTGTTCACAACAGTGGCCAACCAGCTACCTCTATGAAGCCCGCAAACATGAAGACTGCAATAGCATCACATTACCTGACCCTCTCCCCACAGCAACTGATTTAATGAGGCATACTACCTCTGGCACCAGAGGGAGTAGGTATCCATCATGATCAGTAGCCATGGATAGCCCACTCCTCCATGAATTTGTCCACTCCCCTTTTAAAACCTTCCAGTCTGGCAGTACGATCATATTCTGTGGCAGCAAGTTCCACAAATTAACTATACACTGTGTGAAGAAATATCTCCTATTTGTCTGTCATGAATCTTCCACCCTTCAGTGTCAGTGAAAGACCCTGGGTTCTATTATCATGGGAGAGGGAGAAAAGTTTCTCTTTGTCCACTGTCTCCATGCCATGCATCTTATATTCTAATAGTGAAGTCAGGATATCTTTGGATACTTAAATCCGGTGACTGGAGCTGTGAATGGGCAAGACAGATCTTTCTACAAACCTGAAAAGGGTCCTAGGTTTGCAGAAAATGTGAAATCCAAAAACACACACTGGACAGCTTAAAAAATCCAAAAACAATAGAAGTAGCACCAGTAGCTTTAAGCAACTGATTCTCTCGGTGACTGTATCTAGGCAACCACAGCATTCAGCTTTGGCTCTTTCAGTAAAAGGTTGAGGGAGGGGGCAGGGCCCTTCCCAGCCCTATTTGGGCTTTTGAGGGAGAACTCATTGGGGCCAGGACTGGCTAGGGTTGCCAGCTCCAGGTTGGAATATTCCTGAAGATTGTGTGATTAAGTCTGAGGAGTGCAGGGTTTGAGTAGGGGAGAGGCCTCAGCATGGTAACCTACCTCAGAGTAGGGTTGCCAGGTCCTTACCTCATGCTGGCGGAGGATGGGAGGGAGCTTCCCGAGAGTGGGGGGTGGGGTGATGTCGCTGTGTGCAATGTCCCTAATGTGATGATGTCACATGGAAGTGACATCGTCATGCCAGGGATGTTGCACAGTGCAACTCTGATTTTGGAGAAAAGTCTATGGTAAAACTGGGCTCAAACCACAGAGTTTTGCCCAAAAACCAGATTATCGCCGCATGACGTTCCCAGTGTGATGTCACTTCCATGTGATGTCATCATACCAGGCACATCGCATGGGGGTTGTGGCTGTTGGGGGCAGGGCTTCCTTCAGGAGCCCACAAAATCAAAGAATCTCTTGCTCCCACCTGGGGACTATTATAACAAACAAGACCACGGTGTAATGTAACCAGCAAAACAATAAATCACCGTGTATGAGTATACAATATAAGCAAATGTTTATATATAATGCTTTTGAAATTAAATTGTCAGCAAAATTACAACTATAACAAATTAAATGCAATCTTAGGCTTGACAGTACATATGAGACACTACAGTATAATTTTAGACAAACAACGGATATCTAGTATAAGTCCGTTTACGAATCCTTCTTCAGGTTTGTCGTCTGTTTTCTTATCTTCAAACAAATAAAGTGCTGCAAGCATTATTTCACAGTTTTTTGTACGTTTTCACGCTTAATCTGGTGACTGGGGAGCTCCTATCATGCTCTCATGTGACAGAGTCTACAATGTGATATTTGGCTCAGCTACCCTCAGTCTGAGCATGATAGGAGCTCCCCAGTCAC